ATAAGGAACGAAAAGGGAGAGAGGGGAAGAGGGAGAAGGAGGAGAGGGGGGAGAGGGAAGAGGGGCAAGAGAGAGGGATATGTATGATTTTGTAAGTATTTCAGTAGTTCATGTTTATTAATTATTCTTTGAAAAAATATATTTACACTTAGTTTTTAAAAAGAATCATAGATTGTCAAAATATAAGACAAAAATCATGTCTCACATCAGTTAATACAGGCGATATCATTCCGATATCATTCCGTATTAAAATTGAATATTCTTTTCTTCCTTGGAGAGGAACTTGAACAGACTGCATTGACCTTAAAATTGATTTACTGTCTGTTGTTACTTGGTGGGTAGGTCTAGCTTCTTTTTTTTTTTTTTAAATCATTTCACCTCAAACAAGACAATAAAACCACGAGCATGCAAGGGGTTACTCAGTGTGAAATAATATAAGAAAAAAAATACATTATTAAGGAAAGAGAACAATAAAAGAACAAGAATTAAGAAGACAAGATAACAATTGACATTGAATCTAAATTTTTGAGGATCAAAGTTAACTGGGAAGCAAGAAGCCAGAAAAGAGTTTCACAAGTTAGGAGTGTGAGAAAAGAAACTGTTAGCATAGAACTTATAGTTACATATAAAGTGTGTGGTCATTCACCACTTGCCTTAGGTATGATATCTGATTATGACACAGGTGAAATAAATTATTATGTGACCAAACCTTTTTTTTTTTTTTTTTTGCTTGTGGTCAGAAAAGCAGAAAATGCACAAAGTAATTCAAGAAATATGTATCAAGCATGAATTGTCAGGAAAAAATAAAATAATCAGAAGAAATGGTCAATGTCTAACATCAGGCATTTTAAATTTTGGAACATGAGAAATTTGAGGGAGTAGCAGTCAAAATATACATGAGAAGGAGACTTGTTTTTTGTTTCCTGTGAACTGGTACTTGAATAGTAGCAAAAATTAGGATGCATAAAATCTATTGTACACCTTTATAAGTATACCATTCAGCTCCAAGCTAGAGAATTGGTGAATGTCAACAACTGGCACCTCATAACCAGCTGCTTCATGTAGATGGAGCTCAGCCTAGAAAGGCAGTCAATTTAGGAGAAGGAAAACCCTGATTTTAAACTTCCGCTGGATTTTATTATATCCAGACATTGAAAAGACAATGAAAATAAATCCAGACAGAAAACCTAGAGTAGAGTCCCAAGGGCAGTTGGCTGTTAATTTTGATAACTTTCCAGCAACACTTGCAGCTACGCCAGCTCCAAATGTAATGTTCTGTATTCCTTTGGATCTTGTCAGTTTGTCTGAAAGGGGGGTGGGCATATAGTCTGGGAAGTATATGGCTTCTTTATACAATAGGCAGGGCCAGGCCTGATGTTACTCCAGTCTCACCACCAAAGGACTTGACCAAACAGGGTTCTACCTTTATCTTGCAAGATAAATGCATGCTTACTTATTCATCCATGTAGTGAATATTGTTGCTGAAACTGTTCTTGAGAAGTGATAGTCATATTCGTGAGGAAGTTGGCTTCAAGTGTTATTTGATAAATCAAGAAAAGTCAAAATTATTATCAACAGGCATTTTCTCCAAAAATTAAAAGTTCAGGGATTCTTTTTGACTATTTTCATAACTGCTACTGAATAAACAATTAAAACAAAAAGAAAAGAAAAAAGTAATAATAAAAAATATCTAAAGTCAATATAGTAAGATTCTTAGGTGAATAGTTAGCATCAAGACAGGTAATAAATAGACTGTATATACTTAAATAAAAATCAATAACATGTGAACACAAAAAAGTAATTTCCTTTAAATTGCATAATCTATTTAAAAAAAATATATTTCTGTATTTGGTTTATCAATATAACAATACAATTTGATCAGTAATAAAATTAAGTCAAAAGTCTGATCAATAAAATCAGTAAGAAGTAGCATAATTAATTTGATAAAAACTCAATTAAAATGCTTTACTTTAAAAATGATAGTCAGGTTGATAGACTAGCACTTAAAACATCGGCTATGTGTGTTTGGTGAATTTGGATAAAAAGCTAAATTCACAAAGAAATTTATTTCCTTGAAATAAGAGTGGATTATTTAAACAGATTAAGGTTTGTTCAATCTAATTGATAGAACAGAATATTTTTCCAGTAAGGGCTGCAGAAAAGGTAAATATTATTTTTTCCTGTCAAACTGTTATGTCAAAGAGAATAAGGCAGATAATGGGAGAAGTCAGATAAGATTGAAATTATTTACCAAACTGTGTGTTCACTTATCAACATGTTATCTGATCTTGGCTTCCCAGAAGAAATTAAATCCCAAATTTCCTAGTGTTGTGGGTCTCTGTAATTAATGACTTCATCTCACATTAGAGTTTGAATAACCAGTAGGCTACTTCAATCTTTTTTAAGGGTTTCAAATAAATAGTTTTATTTACTATATCAATATTTTTACGGCTAGTAAGACTTTGACATGCTTAAGGCCATATCATGTTGTAACATTGGTTAAGCAATGTTGAACCTGGTCAGTATCTAGATATGAGACTGCTTGGGAATGTCAGGTGCTATCATCCTGGATGTGCAGTTGATGTGATAGACAATGGCTTGGAATGAAAATGTGGAGAGACTTGTTCAAATTCCAGTCAAGTCCATTACATTCATTTACACATTTGGGAAAGGTATGAATCCATCTCTTCAGCTATGGATTAAATAGCAGAACAGACTGTCACATCTGTCCCTGCCAACACATATTGGGTCAGCATGAATTAGGTAATGACCCATATCTCTCTATGGTATGACAACACAATCTAACCCTATCTGTTCTTGTTAGGTCATTGGATTTAAAACTAAGGCACAACTGCATCACCTACCTTAATGATCAAGACTGATACATGAAAGGCAGTGATAGTGAGATCTGGAGAAGGCCTACATCCAACAAAGGACCTTTACTGGCTGAAAATGAATGAATAAATGAATGAATAGGGACTTTGATAAATTTTAAACAAATCAATTATTTCATTATCTGTCTATATTTCTGAAATGAGGTATTATGTACACTATTTACATTATTTGGACTATTGTCCTCATCTTTGTTGCCATATTTATTACAATGTTTCGGACCTTCTGTATCTGTTTATATTTTTGAGATGAGGTATTATGTACACTATTTACATTATTTGGACTATTGTCCTCATCTTTGTTGCCATATTTATTACAAAGTTTAGGCCTTTTAGTATCTGTCTATATTTCTGAGATGAGGTATTATGTACACTATTAACATTATTCGGACTATTGTCCTCACCTTTGTCGCCATATTTATTAAAATGTTTCGGCCCTTCAGTATCTGTCTATATTTCTGAGATGAAGTATAATGTACACTATTTACATTATTCGGACTATTGTTCTCACCTTTGTCGTCATATTTATTAAAACGTTTTGGCCCTTCAGTATCTGTCTATATATCTGAGATGAAGTATAATGTACACTATTTACATTATTCAGACTATTGTCCTCACCTTTGTCGCCATATTTATTACAACATTTCGGACCTTCAGTATCTGTCTATATTTCTGAGATGAGGTATTATGTACACTATTAACATTATTTGGACTATTGGTCTCATCTTTGTTGCCATATTTATTACAAAGTTTAGGCCTTTCAGCATCTGCCTATATTTCTGAGATGAGGTATTATGTACACTATTTACATTATTTGGACTATTGTCCTCATCTTTGTTGCCATATTTATTACAACGTTTCAGCCGTTGTATGTTCTGGCCTTCTTCAGGTGGTTGGAATGTCAAACTGAACCCTTTATTTCACTCACTGGGGTAGACTGTTCTAGTTCCACGTGCCACAGTGGATAAAGGCGTTGTTTAGATCCAGTGACTGGACCCAAAGAGTGTGAGTTCAATACCCAGTTAAGGCAGTGGAGAACTTGGAGAGGGGAATTAATAGTAGATAACTGATAACTGACATCCATTAAAACATGGCATGTGGAACGAGAACAGTCTACGCCAGTGAGCGAAATAAAGGGTCCAGTTTGACATTCCAACCACCTGAAGAAGGTCAGAGCGTACAACGGCCGAAATGTTGTAATAAATATGGTGACAAAGATGAGGACAATAGTCTGAATAATGTAAATAGTGAAATGGTGAGAATTAATGGATTATATATAGAAAACTATGTAATACCAGATTTTATGCTAGGCATTAATAGATTAACTTCTATAATCCAACACAGAGAATAGTCTATTTCACTCAAAGGAGATAGATCTCTATTACATTGTTGATATAAAACAGTATTTTTGGGAATCTTATACTTTTATCTTACAAGGATCAATACATGCTCTGCTAAGAATATTTCTGTGTTTCTCTATTGTAGATATTTAATTATATCTCACCACTCCTCCTTTTATGTGCTGTGGCTTTCCATATGTCTTGTGAGTACTAAATTCTCCAAGCCCTATTTCTTTATTATGGGAGGTGGGGAGAGGAAGAGAAGAAGAATTTGAAGAAAACAAATATGAAGAAGAAAAATTTGAAAATAATTTGAAAAAGAATTTGAAGAATAAGAATTTAAAGAAGATGAATCTGAAGCATTTGAAGAAAAATTTGAAGAATTCGAAGAAGAAAAATTTGAAGAATTTGAAGAAAAAAGAATTTGAAAAAGAAATTGAGAAAGAAAAATTTGAAGAAGAATTTGAAAAAGAAATTGAAAAAGAAAAATTTGAATTATTTGAAGAAGAATAATTTTAAGAAGAATTTGAAGAAGAAAAATTTAAAGAAGAATTCAAACAAGAATTTGAAGAACTTGAGAAGAATTTGAAGGAGAAGAATTTGAAGAAGACTTGGAAGAAAAAGAAGAAAAATTTGAAGAGGAATTTGAAGAAAAAGAATTTCAATAATAATTTAAAGAGGAATTTGAAGAATAATTTAATTTGAAGAATTTGAAGAATAATTTAATTTGAAGAAGAAAAATTAGAAGAGGCAAAAGAATTTGAAGAATTTAAAAAAAGAATTTGAAGAATTTGAAGAAGAATTTGAAGAAGAATTTGATGAAGAATTTGAAGAAGATTTTGAAGAAAAAGAATTTGGAAGAGAAGAAGAATATGAAGATGAAAAATTTGAAGAAGAAGAATTTGAAGAAGAAACACATAACAGGTTCATACTGTATTTATTTCAGTTATATCAATAGCTAAGAGCATAAAAAAGTTCCTTCTATAAATGTTAATTTTGATTTATGCATTTATACCAGATCAGGACTATTGCAGATTCATCTTTGGATTTTATCAAGAATCTCTAAATATATAGCAGAAGCACCAGACTAGATGTTCTAGATTGCACTGTTGACAAGCATAACAGAAGAATCAGAAGACATTCAAAGCTAATTTAAGTACTTTATATAAAGCAGCTTAAGCCAAGCCTCAAGCTTACCTCTTTTGAAATCAGGTAAAACATGTTAGCAGTGTTTTAAGGACACCCAAACATGGAATTAATGCAACTCCCATTAAGTTACTTCTACGCAATGCAACTTAGAACATAAACACTGAAAAATAGGCTAACAATAAATTCCCTTAGAAATGGCTAATGAAAGTTCCCTGGACAATAATCACTACATATCATTTCTTCATTCATAATACCCATAAAAGAAGAAAACTGTAAGAACATTTGAAAAACTGAATAAAAAACCTTCTTTCCTGAATGATATGTTTCAGCCAGTGAATTCTTCAGCTTTTCTCATCCTATCTGTGTGTATGTGTGCATATATATATATATATATATATATATATATATATATATATATATAATTATTTATTTAAAAATATTATTCCAACGCTACATAAGAGTTCTCATGTTTCAAAACAAGAGCAGAGAACTTCAATATAATTATTTGAATTAAATTGAATTAAAGTACCAAGTTCTGTTCCATCTTCAAGCGAAATCTTTTTTGGAATCCAAAATTACCCAATAGGTACAGACTATTTCAACTAACACCGAATATGTCAGTCTTATTCAACTCAGACAGTGGACTGTATTCAGTGTTGGAACTAGAGATTTAAAATTTAATATTTAACAAACACAACAGCTGAAAAATTGATACAGAGCCTACCCATATTGAAGCCCTGGCAGGGCAGACTGCCCAAGTAGTGGTAAGGGGAGGGCAGAAGTTATCTATCTTAAAAGGAAAGAAGCTCCACAAATTCAACCCAGATATTAACCTTAAGTCACCAAATTGGGGTTATACAAAAGATAAAATGAAACTAAAGGAAGGCCGAAAAAAGGAGTTTTATAAAACAAAATTTGTAATTATTAATTATATAAAAAATTGTTCCCACTAAAAAATACCAAAATAGGCTTACAAATAAGATATAATAAGATTAACAATAAATTGTAATTAGATATTTTATACTAAGAAAGAATATATTAAAAAATTTAATATTATTAATGTATAAAAATAAAAATAATTTAATGCTAACCATTTAAATTTTTAAAGACATGTTAAATTATTAAGAATACAAACTATACCCAAATATATATATATATATATAATATCGCACATTATATGCTGGTGTCAATAATGCTTGATGCAATATAACAGAGCTATAAACTATGTATTAATAAACATACATTTTTTTTCTCACCAGCAGCATGACTCAGTTTTATGCACAATGCAATCTTCAGGTGCTCAATTCAACACTTGAAGATTGTGTTGGGGAAAAACATGTATATTTATTAATGTGTGTGTGTGTGACTGACTGACAAGAAAGAAGTGGGTAGTTGATATAGTAGACCTGAACCTTTAAGATTCAGCACGGTCACCCTTTTAGATTTTTACTTAAATGTACAGCAGCAGATCAAATCTGGATATTGGGCAGCTAAGAATTCTGTATGAATTGACTGAAACCCACAAATCAAATATGGAGGATTTTCAGTTCCAGTGGAAGGAATTCTGTTCATTGCAATCTTAGCCAATATTAAACCTGCAAAATACATTAACAAATTCTGCTGATCTCATAATCTAATTTATGACAGATGGAGTTTCCGGTTACATCGCAAAAAAAAAAAGGAAAGAAAAGTGAAATGACATCTCAAGAATATTTATCAATTCCATAGGCAAGTCAGTAAGCTGATATGAATTTCATTGAATAGCAATATTTGATAGAACAGTGACAAGAATTTTCAGGAGTCTCCAGAGAGTTACTTGTATTCTTATAAGTGAAATTGAAAGAACTCATTGATTTAAAAAAAAAATGAATCAAAGCATTAAAATTATTAGTGACAAATTGAGTAAATACTAATTCTAATTTGTAAAATGTTTGTCAAGTTGATAATATGAAATAAATATAAATAACTATTGAATAAAAAATGTTTTCTAGCTACATATAAAATGTTTTGTCTATTTTTCCTTTATTATTTATAAAATACTTACCTCTGTACATTGAAGTGATCCATCCCATATTATATGAGACAAAAACATCATCAATTGGAAACTGGGGACGTGTTAAGTCTGGTTCAAGTTGTGGCTTTGGACTTACAGCTTCATGAGTTTTCATCAGAATCTGAGGATCAATTCCAAGTTGAGCCGCATTCAAGATAGTGTCTGATTGCAACTTAGAATTACATTTCAAATCTGATTTTGAGTCTGAAATTAAATTAAGATTAGTTTGCGAATTAAGTTTTGATTCTGATTTGATACTCAAGTTAAGTTTCCCATGTAGGTCACCAATCAAATTTGATCTTGGACTGTTAACTATGCTGATATTTGATTTGTTGTCAAAATTTATATTTCTGGACTTGGATGTAACATTCACATTTTTCTTTGAATCTAGATGAGCTGCTGAGTTGAAACTAGTATGAAGGTTCAAATGTAGTTGCATCCACTTGAGCATGTCACCTGGAGTTGAATACATTGAGCCAGCTGGTCCAGCAGGTGTCACAGATCTATGAAGGACAATATATACATGTAACTGAAAGGTGCTAATCTATATCTAATAAGAAGAATTCACAAACGGTTTTGGACTAAAGCAGTATTAAAAAAGCAGGAAAGAAAATAATTATTTTGCAACAGTATCTTTTATACCATAACTCAAAGATTTTATGCATACATAACTGGTACACAATTATGATTCCAGTTTTAAATAGTTTTATTATGCTTTCTTGTATCTCATAAAATACACATATATTTACTAAATGTTCACTTAATACAAGGCCCAAGAGCAACTCAAGGTAAAAGGTTAATGAGTGAGGTTTTTATATAGGTGTAAGAGGAGAAAGTGAATATTATGTAAGATAAATAATGGTTAACTCTAGACTTTAAAACATTAAGATTGTAGTAATCAGTAAAGCATCCTCTTGGCAGTCTGTTCTACAATGTAGTGGTTCTCAGGAAGAAGCTTTCTGAGTGGAACTTCATTCTTACTAATGGAATACAAAGAGAATGAGCATGATTCAACTCTGTAAATGTGGCACAGAGGGTTTGAAGTGGTTGAACTAAAGAATTTAGCTTGTCTAAACATTTGCCATGGAAATAGCAATAGAGTCATAAGCTTGTGACTAAATCTTTGTCTTTATCAATTTGTCAAATATTTTCAAATTTATAAAACTTTTAGTTTAATTCAAACTAATTTAAAGATAATCTTTGTGTCTTCTTGATCTCACATTTTCCACTGACATGAAGTGGAATGATTAGATTGAATCAATTGCTAAGTCTGTTGCTAGGAAAGTCTATTTACTGTGTTGTGCCAGACAATTTTTCTCACCATAATACATCTTGCATGTTTATAAATCTACCATTTGTCCATGCTTTGAATATACCTGGTATGGTGCTGTTGCTATATGTCTTGAAATTCTCAATAAAATCCAAAGAAGGGACTATAATGTTATAGGTTCTGACCTGGCATTTTGACTTCAGTCACTTTCTCACCACTATGACATGACTCTCCTGTTTTTTTTATAAATATTTTAAGGGCAAATGAGCTCTTCTCCTTGTTAACTTTACTTTCTGAATTTAAGTGTATTACTACATTGGCAATTAGGTCTCATTATGTTATTCTTGAAATAGCTAAATATAATCATAAATTCTATTCTAATAGTTTCTTTTCTCACACTTCTCACCTGTGGAACTCTCTTCCAGTTTCTTGCTTTCCTGCCACCTTCAAAAATTTAAATGCAGTGTCAATCACTTCTGTTTTCTTGATTTCTGTTCTTTTATTGTCCTATCTCCTAACTAAGGTCTTTCTCATTTTTTTTCAGTACCAGTAAATCCTTGTGTCTTAGTGGCATTATCACCTTGCTTGGAATGAAATAATTTGAAAAAAAAAATACAGATTTTATGTTTTTATAATAATCTTATTTGCAATTTATTTTGTTTGTAGTGCTTTAGAAAAATACACAATTAATTAAGACCGATTTAAGATTTACAAAATGCTCTTGTATGATTGCAAAGGAGAAGGATACAAGAAAAGAAAAAATGATTTTTAGAAGATAATGAGAATATTAAAATTTGGAAGTATAAGTGAGAATGATAAAATTGTAAGAATATATTACAATTTAACTTGAGGAAACACCTAGAGACTATTGTTACATTGTATATCAAAATGTTTCTTTCTAGTAATGAAGAGCACCCTCTCATTATGGAGTGGATTGTTGACCTTGTAAAATCCTCACAAACTAATCAACACTATTATTAGGTACAAGTAAGTCAACATCCTTTTTTTTTGCTTTGAATTTACTTAAATAAGCTTTCAATAAATATCAATAATTAAGTGTAAATCCATAACTGGATACTCACATAATTTGTGTCAGTTTTTATGATGAAATGAAATATGTAAAATTTGTAAAACAGACATTTTAGCAGACATTTGTGAACTTATTCCAGAAAGAATCTGTACGTTTATATAATTATTAACATATACAAATGTACAGTAAATAAAAAACAGAATATTACAAAAGTTTTACAGATGAAATGTTTGTATTAAACAAACTGTAAACCTGTGAATAAAAATACTTTCATAGTGTTTTGTTTTTGTTGGTGGGGGTGGGTCCACTATTTGCCCATAGCTTGGACTCCAGGTCAAGGTAGACCTGGGAACAACAGCAATTAAGAGGTGGTCCCACGCTCCTCAAAACCTCCAATCTCCTGATCAAAGGACTTGTTGCTGTATATGTTGTGGTGAATAATGCCAGTGTCAAATTACATGCTGATAGACTCTAATGAGAGCAGGCCAATTTCTATTTGAGTTCTTTGAAATTGCCCTGCTCCAAAGCTAAGTCCCTTAAAGTATATCTTTTCATTCATGTTGAATAGAACCATATAATTTTTATGTGAAAAATATGTTTTAAACATTTTGGAATATTACTTTGTGTCCAATGATTTAATATGAACATTTTTTTCTTCTTGACAATTCATTGAAACTACAAACTTTAAATATTTGATTCCTTTCCTTGAAACAAACTACTGACAAATTGAAATGTGTATATTTGTAAATAAATTCCTTATCTTGTCTTGTTAAATATAACATGTGTGTTTCCTTGTCATTATCCCTCAATACTTCAATAGTTTATCGTCATATCCAGGACTAATATCAAGATACATATTTTTGTCAAATACTGTAAAAAACTATACCAAAATATATCATTTGTTTTCTGCCTAAAATCATTTTATTTTTTGTAAAGAACTGTAAAAAGGTATACCAAAATATATCATTTGTTTTCTGCCTAAAATCATTTTATTTTTTTGTAAAGAACTGTAAAAAGGTATATCAAAATATATCATTTGTTTTCTGCCTAAAATCATTTTATTTTTTTGTAAAGAACTGTAAAAAGGTATATCAAAATATATCATTTGTTTTCTGCCTAAAATCATTTTATTTTTTTGTAAAGAACTGTAAAAAGGTATATCAAAATATATCATTTGTTTTCTGCCTAAAATCATTTTATTTTTTTGTAAAGAACTGTAAAAAGGTATACTAAAATATATCATTTGTTTTCTGCCTAAAATCATTTTATTTTTTTGTAAAGAAATGTAAAAAGGTATACCAAAATATATCATTTGTTTTCTGCCTAAAATCATTTTATTTTTTTTTGTAAAGAACTGTAAAAAAAGGTATATCAAAATATATCATTTGTTTTCTGCCTAAAATCATTTTTATTTTTTGTAAAGAACTGTAAAAGGTATATCAAAATATATCATTTGTTTTTCTGCCTAAAATCATTTTATTTTTTTTGTAAAGAACTGTAAAAAAGGTATATCAAAATATATCATTTGTTTTCTGCCTAAAATCATTTTATTTTTTTGTAAAGAACTGTAAAAAGGTATACTAAAATATATCATTTGTTTTCTGCCTAAAATCATTTTATTTTTTTGTCAAGTACTGTAAAAAGGTATACTAAAATATATCATTTGTTTTCTGCCTAAAATCATTTTATTTTTTTGTCAAGTACTGTAAAATGGTATACTAAAAATTATCATTTGTTTTCTGCCTAAAATCATTTTATTTTTTTGTCAAGTACTGTAAAAAGGTATACTAAAATATATCATTTGTTTTCTGCCTAAAATCATTTTATTTTTTTGTCAAGTACTGTAAAAAGGTATACTAATATATATCATTTGTTTTCTGCCTAAAATCATTTTATTTTTTTGTCAAGTACTGTAAAAAGGTATATCAAAATATATCATTTGTTTTCTGCCTAAAATCATTTTATTTTTTTGTAAAGAACTGTAAAAAGGTATACCAAAATATATCATTTGTTTTCTGCCTAAAATCATTTTATTTTGATTGTATACCAAATGCTATAAACATATTAATATTTGTATTTTATAATGCTATGTTCATTTTGTTACCGATCATGGGTCTCATGGTATTTATTGGCTCCCTAGAGGAGGAAAAAGAGGGTGGGGGAATGAATGTACTCATCATTTGATTGATGAGTGGAGCATTTAGTCCACATAGGAATGACAGCAAAACTTCCCACTCTCCAAATTTATCAATAAAACATACAGATGCATCGTGGGATATCTTCCTAGCCAATCAGATAGGCCACTTCTTGGTCTCATCTGACATCGTTCTGTTCTTTCTTGTCTTGAAGTCAGAACTCTGCGACCACTTGTCTGTATCCCTTTTGTGTGTTAACGCTATTCTTATTTTGTGAACTTTTTGCCTTATTACTGTTGCTTTGCCTACTTTTATCTTGTGTATATTGTTTGCTTAATATTATTTTTGCCAGTTATTTTCTTACTCTTGTTATTGTTTATTAGAAGCTTTGTCAATTCTGTTTGTTGGGCATTTCTGCTAATTACATTTAATCATAGCCAATTACTCTACACACAGACTACTACTTCTTTATTATTTGAGGACTGCTATGACTTCTTAGGAAAGATAGTGGAGTGGTTTCCAATTGTCTTCTCCACAATTTGAAATTCAGAGTAATCTTTCTCTTAGACTAGCTGAAAGCCAAGGCTAGAAATTCCAGTTTAGCCTGCTATGTAGCCTATAGTTGGTTGGAGAATTAAATCCTCTTACAAGAGCATTAGTATAAAGGTGACTACAACATACTGATGGAATTTGAACTCAGCTATCCAAGTTCACTTTCTGTGCTGAAAACTATTAGGCTACTTGCCCGTCCCAAATACACCAATGCATATTTACAGTACTTATTTACAATACTAATTTAAAATATTTATTAAAAAACTTTATTACAATACTAATTTAAAATACTTATTTACAATACTAATTTAAAATACCTATTTACAATACTAATTTAAAATACCTATTTACAATACTAATTTAAAATACTTAATTACAATATATATCTATATTTCTGATATGATGTATTGTAATTATTCACACTATTTACATTGTTCAGACTGTTATTCTCATCTCTGTTGCCATATTCACAATGTTTTGGCAATTGAACACTACAGCCTTTTTCAGGTGATTGGTATTTCAAACTGGACCTGTTATTTCATCCATCAGAGTAGACTGTTCTAGCTCCACATGTCATGCCTCTTCCAGATATCTCCCTTTAACTAAACTCTCCAAGTTTTTGTTTACCACTGTAGTAACCAGGTATTGAACTCACAACTCTTTGGGTCAAGTCACTGGATTCAACCAAAGTTTTTATCCATTGGGCCATGTTTCCTTGAGGTTATATCACATTGTTCAACATGAAATGAACAGAATTTAATATTAAATTTAAAACATTCTTCTTTAATGTGCTATACCATCTATTTAAATATGTTGGTCCATGATGTCGGAAGTAAATACTGAAACTTGGTAGTGAGTAATCACTGCTGTTAAAAAGTGGTTTACCTTGATAGGTGCATTTTTTTTCGCGAGCATACTTGTTCATCACTGACAAAAAAATGGTGTTGACTATGTGGAAAAATGGAGTTTTATAGTTGAAAACTAATCCTATCCAATAGTATTATTGTTCTTCCCATCCATTTTAGTTTCTGAACTAATAAATATAGAAGGTATTACTTTTGAGGATACGTGGTAGTATAATGGATAATGACTCAGACTGAAAATTGGAGACACACACACACACACAAATATCATTGTGAAATGTATGAATCCTTTTATTTTCCCCCCAGCTATGGGTAAATAGCAGGACAGACTAGAAACTATAACCTTGGTTAGTAACCAATCTAACAGATGGAAAGCTATGAATTCAAACCAGCCTGGAGAGGGTTGAGCTCAGTTAGGCTAGCTTGTCCAAGGCACACCACTGCTGTTATAGCTGCAGTACATGTGGTTCTCTTACAACCTTAAGGGGTTACAGGACTTGTGATTGTAATTACTTTTGGAGGATCCCTTATAGATAAATATAGAAAATGTTACTTAGAGAATAGAAATATATTTATAATTAGAACAAAATGATTAATTACCAATACTTACTTAACAACTTCCATTCCTAGTTTTTTAAATTTTCCATCCTTCCTCACATATGGAAATGCAAAATCTTCAAATGATTTCACATGATCAGCAAATCCTGTATCTTTCATTCCAATAGGTTGTAGTAGATGACACATGACCAGTTCTTCCCATGTTTGGTTTGTTAATTGTTCTGTTACATGAGCAGCAAGCACATACATGTAATTGTTGTAAAGAAAACGGTCACGGAATCCACTGCAAATTGGCTGGAAGCGTATATGGCTGAATTAGAAAAGAAAAGATAAAAGTAAACAGCTAGTTAAATGTATGCATTTATGCTTTTTAAAAATCAGTCACTTAGTATCATACTATTAATAGATATAACATGAATAAGAGATGATTGGCATTAGTACTTAAGTCTACAAAAAGGAAACAATGAAAGAATTCATAAATTGTATATTTGTTACAAAAATGTAACAGATGATAAAAAAAAACAAATGCAGCCCAATTGCCATTTTTAAGAAAGAAAGAAAAAGTTTAGTAAAATTTTGACCTTTGTAAAAGCAGATCTTAATGACTCTCAGATAAGCTGCCATCACTGCAACGATTAAAATAAAAAAATAATAAATAACTAATAAAACAAATGGTATAAATACTGTATTAAAAAGTTCTGTAGAATTAAAAAAAGAAAATATGTTCAGAAGGCAAAAACAATAAAAAACAATTTAATTTTTTATTAATTGGAAAAAGAATTTCATGGTAAGAATGTAGGCAGAGTTCAAGAGTTGACAGAAATGATTTTTCTTAATCTTTATCATACCGTTTGTGACTTCATTTGCTGTACAAAAAGTTTAACCTGTCACTGAAGGTGATTCTGATCCCTGAACAATAGTATGTCTGAATTTCATAATTGTGTTGTCATATCCAGCTATGGCTACAGAAAACAACTTTGAGTGAAATTAAAAATAAGGATACTGCAATTGAGAGACATTGATAAAAAAACGCTGTGGAAAGGGAAGTAACATTAATAATGCAGAGGGTAAAAGGCTAAATAACCAAAAAGGTTTTTCTTAATTAGTTAATTAATCAAGTTGGTTCGTATATTGAGAGATAGCAAAGTTATCTTTTTAAAGAACTCACTTTATACAGAGAAAAACAACTGTAAAAATTGGCAACAGTTACCCACTGGATTCAAGTAGCATTGTGTTAGTAACTGGTTGGCTAAAACAATAGTAAAAACATTTGTAAAAATACAATGTTTTATGTAAATATGTTTTATTGGACAGCATATTTATATACTTTGCACTATTATATCTTGTCATCTTTCAACCAACCTAATAATTCCAGAATGATTTTCATTCTTATCAGACACTGCACTATGTGCCTTTTGTATTTTTCCAGAGAACTGAAATTTTTCTTGAACCCAATTCTTTAAAAATCAGAATAAATAGTATTACAAAAGAGCAATATTTGGTGAATTTGGTAGATGAGTTAGGTACCACCACAGAAAATGCGATACTTAGGGTTTGGAATAAATTTTTAAAAATGAAAAATCTTTCTTAAAGTTTTTATTTTAGTTTTAATTTCAAGCTAATAGATTAAATTTAATATTTCCAATAAACAAAATACTTTGCCATATTTCAAAAACTAATTTAAATTGATTCGAATCAGTTTTTCTTTTTCTAAAATAACAGATTAGCACCCTTTTTTTTTCATTGCAATGTAATTCTCTTTATTAAATAAATCTTCCAAAAATAAAATATACTTTTCTGAAACTTTATTTGAGAAATATTAACTGATTTAAAGTATAATTAAACTGATTTGAAACAACTATTATTTATTTTAAGTTTAAAATATCACAGAAATTTTTTAACTTGACAGTAGATGTTTATTTAAGCTGTTGAACTTTTCTTAATACCCTTTTCTCTGAACAGTTAATTGGAAGCAAGACTAGGTTGAATCAATCATTTGTTCTTCAGTTGAGACATGGATATTGATAAAATTAAAAAATTAAAACAATTCTTGTAAAGATTTATTATTCACTGAAAAGACAAATTGTAAAGAAAAGGCAATAGTATCCTTAATATATCTTATTTATAAAAGCAATTAAAAGCTTTTCCAATTAAATAATGTCATAGTTTTATTGTATTTTTTATTTTACAATTCAGAGCAAATTTTTGGTAAATTGTGCTTCTGTTTGATGATTGATGATTTAAATCTGTTTGGTGATTTAAATTCTCCAATGAGTCCTGCTTTTAACTAATATAAATATAAAGAGTGTGGAATTTTGATTTCTTGAAATTTCATAAAATCAAGTAAGTGGGGGTAACAACAGTAAAAAAAAATTTTCTACTAAGATTTTTAAAAAAATTAAAAAATAATTTCATTCATTTGTGAATAAGTTCTGAAAATTTCATTAAAATCCAACAATTATTTTGTTTTTGCAAGAATTTCAAGAAAAGATGCTAAAATTTTCCATACTAATCTTTGGCCAACCCACTGATAAAAGAAAAACAAAATTTTTAACCAAAATTTCAAACATGCTAGAAAGGATTAAAAATTTAATAAAATAATCAAAAATTATTTCGGTCTTTCCTCTTAATAATAACATAAACATTTTGATGATAAAACTTTGGGGCCTTTTTTTTATCATGGTATGCTATTTTATAGTGAATTTTTGGAGGTACCTAGTTAAATCTCATAAGTCAAATTGTAACAATTTTTATGAAAGAAATACTATGTAGTTTAGTGTTATTTTGATGGAATGTTATAACCTTTTCTCTGAACTGTTAATTGGAAGCAAGACTAGGTTGAATCAATCATTTGTTCTTCTGTTGAGACATGGTTATTGATAAAATTAACAGAAAAGAGTCTTGATGGTTGATACACAATGATGCTATGTTTAGCTCTTGATTTAAATGACAGCAGCATATGACAAATGATTAGTATGGACACCACAAAAATAAGTGAGAAGAATAGAAGAAGAACAAGAATAGTAAATGTCAAAAATGGTCCTCTGGAATCCATAGTGTGGAGTGGGATGGTATGGTGGACGTCGTGTCACATCGACAATTGAGAGTAGCATATTGGCCTGGAATCTGTCCAAAAAGTGAAGGTGGCAATGACAGTCAGAAAAATGTCGAAAAAGACATTGTTGACTTAGCCTAGATTGTTAATCAGATATGATAATAATAATTGGTAACTTGGCCTACTTAGAAACTAGATCTACTAATAATAAATGTTGCCTTGGACTCGGTAGGGACCAGATCTAATAATATTATATAATAGTATGATCTAGTCTTTTAATCTACTTAATTTATGTGAAAATCATACCCCAAAGAGACTAAGATAACCAAACAGATACAAATTATTTATTTCTATTATAAGGAAGTCATGTCAAAGTGACTAATATAACTAAGCTGATGAAAATTATTCTTTTTTTACTTATGTGAAATGGATCATCAAAGTGACTAGCACAATATAGTAACAATTGTCAGGTATGGATTGAAAGCTGACAGCATTGTAAAATTTTAATATTAATATTTATAACCTATATACCTATATATATATTATTAGGGCTTTCATTATTTTTAAACTTTTTTTATTTGTGGATGAGGTTATTATATTTGTATTTTCTACTACTTGGGATGGAATCTGATATATTTTTGTGTGTGTTTAAATGAGTTCTAATGGAGCTGTTGCGAGATAGTTGTAATGTAAGTCGTCTGGATAAGCATGTAGTAGTGTGACCGATGTAATTATTTATGAATTTGGTTTGGTCAGGAAGGGTCCTTAAGGGGCATTTGAACTCATAAATAATGTTGATCCTTTGTAGTTTTGATTTTGCTGGTGTGCTGTTATTTTTTATGATAAGGTTAGCTATTTTAAATTTTTTGTAATGGATAATTAATTTTTTTTAATTAACAAGTACTTCAATTAGAACTCATTTAAACACACATGTAAACCGACCAACCTCCATCAAAAACATACTAGTAGAAAATACAAATATAACCTCATCCACAAGTAAAAAAAGATTTAAAATAATGGAAGTCCTAATATAAAAAGAAAAAGCCAATGCAATAACATTAACTATGAACATGGCCACAAGGTGCTGACCGTGTTTTGAAAATAAAACATCCCTATAACTCTAGATCTATACATAACACAACCCATACATTCAGTTAAAAATAAAAGAAAATCATCCTTGATAATGACTAAAAGAATATCTGAAAGGGCTCATAAATGCAGAACTTTTGAACAGTTTTTACACACTTTGTTTCCAGAAAACACTTGTATGAACACAAGAAAAATTAAATAAAAAGCTTTATCGCAGCATCTTGTTAGTCATTTTTAATGAAACATGTATAAAAGAGGGATTGCTGCCTAATACACAATATATATATATATATATATATATATATATATATATATATATAATTATTTATTTAAAAATATGATTCCAACACGCTACATAAGAGTTCACATGTTTCAAAACAAGAACCGAAAACTTCAATATAATTATTTGAATTAAATTGAATTAAAGTACTAAGCTCTGTTCCATCTTCAAGTGAAATTTTTTTTTGGAATAACTTATTTCTGAAATTTTATGTAAGACAAAATCGAAAAAGTTGACTTATGATGTGTTTCATCCATTAGGACTTCATTGGACTGGGTTTTTATGATGTTATGATTGCACATTCACATGAACAGAGATGCTGGTAGTTTCGACATTTTGAAAGAATTTTTTTTAAATAATGTTTTTCTTTCTTTTATGTCAACAGTATGATATAAGATAATGATATATGTTTTTTATATCGAGACAGTATTGAGGAAATTTTAAGACAAAATGGAAAAGTTTACTTGTAATACATTTCATTCATTAGGACTTCTTTGGGATTGAGGTTGTTGATGTTATAACTACACATGCACATGAATGAGAGATGCTGGTAATTTCAATATTTTGAAAGAGTTTTTTTTTTAAAATAATGTCAGCAAACCCAGTACAATGAAATTCTAATGGGTGAAATGTGTCAGAAGTAAACTTTTTCCATTTTGTCTTACAATTTACTGTCTCTTGATATGTAAAAAGAAATATATATATTCATAAAAATATGAATAAAATACAAAAAACAAATAGATTAAGAAAAATACATTTACATACACCCAGCTACAAGCAAATAGACATGTATTGCTACATAATAAATGTAACCAAATATACAGACATATAGATATCCACATTCAAAATAATTTTTTAAAATGCATACATATATGAAATGAACATA